CAAGGAGAGCGCAGAGACAGAAGAACGTTTAGGACTGGTGGCTTGAGCCCAAGGAGGAGTTTGTAAAGATAAGACATTGTGGTGAAGTGTAAGGCATTAGCTTGAAAAGGCTGATAAGTGTGTAGATGTCACTATGACTGCTCACTTGGAGATCGACGGGCCCGTGGGTGCATGGCTGTGGCCTTGTGTTCCCTGTGAAATGCCATGAGAAGTGTATAGTCTGGGTCTATTGCAGCAGTGGAAGGGAGCCCAAAGAAATCCATAAATTTGCTTGGAAACATATTTCTGTGCTGCTGCTTCCATTTTAAGAGAGTTCTTGGTATGGAGAAGACAAAGGCAGGCTTAAGCCCCCTTTCAGGACAGGACTCTTCTTCGGTCTAAACATGGATTCGGGTGATGGTCGTGATGCTGATGGAACCCATTGTTAGCTGGGCTGCAGCCTGGAGGCTTCCTGAACTAGAAGCCGAAGAAGAATGGCTTAACACACTGGTTCTTAACCTTGGGTTACTCAGGAGTTTTGGACTGCAAGAATGGCTTAATGGACAGGCAGATGCCTCCTTGGCTTGGGACGGGTGGGGAGGTTGAAAGGGTGTCATTTTCTCATTCGGCCTGCATTCCTATCCCACAAAAAGGATCACTGTTGTCCATCCCATTTTTGGGATGTGTAGTAACTGTGTTTGAATCCAGTCATGTCTTTTTTTTTTTCCAAAGAGAACACTGGAATATTTCTGGGCTCTGGTCATGTTTCATATGAGAGACTATTATTCTCCTTAACCATTACAGAGGTTAACTCTTGAATCCAGTTGTGTCTTTTTTCCCCAAAGAGAACACTGGAATATTTCTGGGCTCTGGTCATGTTTCATATGAGAGACTATTATTCTCCTTAACCATTACAGAGGTTAACTTCAGACGTTAATGTAAAGTTACGCCGATGTAAAACAGATCTGTTGCCAGGAATAGTTTATACTAATGGAAAGCTTCCAATCTCTCCTGTCAAGTTCTGAGGCTCCCTGGGGCTCTTTTTCTGCCTGGGGAAGCCTTGGTACAGAGCACAGGAGCCCCAGTGTAAACCAGATCTGTTGCCAGGAATAATTTATACTAATGGAAAGCTTCCAGTCTCCTGTCAGGTTCTGAGGCTCCCTAGGGCTCTTTTTCTGCCTGGGGGAGCCTGGAGAAGCCTTGGTACAGAGCACAGGAGCCCCATCACTAGTCCAGATTTTCAGCCAGATCACAATTGCTGGGATTGGGCCCACTGGCAGAATTCACTGACTGTTAAAGGCTGTTTCCTTCCCCCCATCGCTCCCAAGGCTCCCTGAAGGAGAAAAGGAGGCCGAGAAAAATGAGGGTGGGGATATGGTTTCAGTTTAATTATTTCAGAACTGGATCGAGTTTGTGCCAGCATGATTTCATGCCAGTTTTTGGGCCATTGTATAAATTATCTTGCCCTCCAACTGAACGGGTTCTTAATTTCTATACTTGTATACCTGTATATACAGTTGTGCCCTGCTGGATGATTATCCCACTCTACGACGAATCCGCATTACGTTGACATTTTTGCGATTGCAAAACGATGTTTTAAATGGGGGAATTTGCATTACGACGAATCTGCTTCACAACGATGTTTTGTGATCGCTTTTGCGATCGCAAAACGATATTCTAAATAGGTTTTTTTCGCTTTGCGATGATTGGTTCCCTGCTTCGGGAACCGATTCTTCGCAAAACAATGTTTTTTGTAACAGCTCCCCGCTGTGTTTAGGGACGGCTTCCTTCCCTGGGTTTCAAAATGGCCCCCCGCTGTATGGAAGATCTTCACTGGATGGTGATTTTTTCAGCCTATTGGAACACATTGAATGCTGGGTTTCAAAATGGCCCCCCGCTGTATGGAAGATCTTCACTGGATGGTGATTTTTTCAGCCTATTGGAACACATTGAATGGGTTTTCAATGCGTTTCAATGGGATTTTTTCATTTCGTTTGACGATGTTTTCACTCTACAGCGATTTCGCTGGAACGAATTAACATTGTCAAGTGAGGCACCACTGTATTGCTGTCTCATGAGAAGACTCCCTGGAAAAGACCCTGATGTTAGGAAAGTGTGAAGGGAAGAGGAGAAAGGGATGTCAGAGGAGGAGATGATTGGACAGTGTCATCGAAGTGACCAACATGAATTTGACCAAACTCCGGGAGGCAGTGGAAGACAGGAGGGCCTGGCGGGCTCTGGTCCATGGGGGTCACGAAGAGTCGGACACGACTAAACAACAACAAAATATATTGCTGACCTGCCCATTTAAATGTACAGCCTATTGGAGCGCATTGAATGGGGTTTCAATGCGTTTCAACAGGATTTTTTCGTTTCGTTTGACGATGTTTTTGCTCTACAGAGATTTCGCTGGAACGAATTAACATTGTCAAGTGAGGCACCACTGTATTGCTGTCTCATGAGAAGACTCCCTGGAAAAGACCCTGATGTTAGGAAAGTGTGAAGAGAAGAGGAGAAAGGGACGTCAGAGGAGGAGATGATTGGCCAGTGTCATCGAAGTGACCAACATGAATTTGACCAAACTCCGGGAGGCAGTGGAAGACAGGAGGGCCTGGCGGGCTCTGGTCCATGGGGGTCACGAAGAGTTGGACACGACTAAACAACAACAAAATATATTGCTGACCTGCCCATTTAAATGTACACATGGTATGTTTGGATAGCTTACTGAGTTGGGTACCTGGCTGTGGAGCCAGAGATCAAGATTTTGATTCTAAACTGTGACTCCCAGGAGGAAAGGCAGCCTTGGGCAAAGCGCACAGTCCCAGATCACCCCTAGCAGAAGGGACTGGTAAATTACTTCTGACTTCCATTGAAAAGCCACCCATATCTGCCTGGTAGAAGGAAGTCCTTTGGCCAGAATCAACATGACATTGTCCCATTGCTACAATATGGCTCTCTTGGGAGCATCCTGCAGTGGCATAGGTTAATCAGGGAGCACCTCCGTGACTTCCATTTAATACTAAGATTAAATTCTTAGTATTAAGGAGGACCAAGAAAGATTCTGAGAAATGAGATATCCATTGTCAGTCAGACCATACTGGGCTGGGTGAAGGTGCAATGATCCAATGCCACATAACAGAAATGCTTAAATTGAGCATGTTGAACTATAACGTGTGTCTCCAGAGTATCATATTTGTGCACCTGTAAGAGGAAATTAGCTAAATATCCCATAAGTGGGGAGTTCCGTGTTTTATTCTAGTATTTGGCCGGAATCAATATGACACCGTCCCATTGCATCCTGCAGTGGCATAGGTTAATCAGGGAGCACCTCCGTGACTTCCATTTAATACTAAGATTAATTCCATTTATCGAGTCCAGGCCCTGTCAAGTATTAAGGAGGGCCAAGAAAGATTCTGAGAAATGAGATATCCATTGTCAGTCAGACCATACTGGGCTGGGTGAAGGTGCAATGATCCAACGCCACATAACAGAAATGCTTAAATTGAGCATGTTGAACTATAACGTGTGTCTCCAGAGTATCATATTTGTGCACCTGTAAGAGGAAATTAGCTAAATATCCCATAAGTGGGGAGTTCCGTGTTTTATTCTAGTCACCTGTCTGTTGTGTTACTTCTATGGGCAAAACCAAGAAAGAGTTTGGCAGATGGATCTAATTGGCGCAAAGATTCCACCATACCCTTCCTTGCAAAGTTTTCTACATGTGAGTGCCTCCGTCATAGCTTTTCACAGAGAGGCTTCCATCATGTTTGTATACACCTGACTCAACTCTCAGCCCCTCTTGATTTTTCTATAATGCACTAAGAAAAAATCTGCAATATTTGGAGGATTGTAATTTTGTCAGTTTACCACATAGTTTTTCCTCTGTTCTTGTTTAAGCGCTATTCCTCATGAATACCTACAGCTAACTGGGAGAGCACAGTTACTACACATTCTAAATATCCTTTTGGACAGCGCTGCCTGTTAGAATCTCGTGTCAGGTCTTCTTTGCATCTTTATAGACCTAAATTCAGATCGCTGCTCAAATAAGTTCTGTCGCTTGCCTCGTTCTGTCGTCGTGACTCCACTCTTGGGCTGCTAATGTTAAAAATAGCAAGTTTTCCCTTTCTGCTGCTGCACGACCGTCTTCTCAAGCAGGAGGAAGGATGCGTGGGATCCTTACAGCCATCATCTGAGACCTGCAGAGCTGGAAGGGGCCCTCTGGATCATCGAGTCCAGGCCCTGTCAAGGAGGTGTGGGGAGAATCGAACCCCCCAACCCCTGGCTCTAAAGCAAAAGACCTAAATCCCTAAGAGGATGAATAAGCCCTGCGTTGACTGCGTTTCTCCGTGCCTCTATGAAAGCAGAAATCGGCAAGTCTGCTGCGACCGTAACTTAGTCGCATGAACCGGTTACTACACGTGTTTGGTGGAATACACATGATGCATATTAGATTTACCCCAACATATGAAGGTTGCCGGGTGGAAGGAAGCCGGCAGCTTGTGCAACCCTTGCATGCACACGTTAGTTTCCTGCTCGCAGACACACGTGATGCATATTCGATTTGCCTCAACATATGAAGGTTGCCGGGTAGAAGGAAGCCAGCAGCTTGTGCAGCCCTAGCATGCACACGTTAGTTTCCTGCTTGCAGAAGCGGCAGAAACAAGTAAGGGCACTTCAGTCCACGTGTCGCCCGCATCCTAAGATAGCGGGATCACATTCCATCCGGCTTCCCAGGGCGATGCCATTTCTGAGATCGCTCCACATCCCCGGATGCAATAGCCACGTTTCCCCGCCTCCTCCAGGCGGACGAACTACATCTCCCGCTAGGCACAGCGCGCCCTCCGGGCTGGGCGTTGAAGCGTCGGTCTCCCGCGCTGCATTCTGGGTGAAGAAGTACCCTCCCTGGTTCCATTCGCCCCCAACGGCGATGCCGAGGTCCTCCTCTCCTCCGGCATCCCGAGAGCAGCGCGCATGCGTGGCGCCGGCCGGGCGAGGCCTGCGCAGGCGCAGTGGCCTCGCTGCTGCAGTGATAGGGGAGGGGGGAGCGGGCGCCATCTTACCAGTTGGTGGAGGGGAAGGGAGCGGCCGGAGGGTGGTCGGCGGCGGCGGCGGCTGGCAGGTGAGTCGGGTTGGGCGGTGGCCTCTGGCCCCACTTGGTGGCCAGCTTGCTCCCACTCCTCCGCTGCCGTTATGCCTTCTGCCCGTCCCTTCTTCCTTCAGGAGTCCCCCCGGGAAACGTGCAACGGGTTGGGCGGTGGCCTCCGGCCCCACTTGGTGGCCAGCTTGCTCCCACTCCTCCGCTGCCGTTATGCCTTCTGCCCGTCCCTTCTTCCTTCAGGAGTCCCCCCGGGAAACGTGCAACCTTGTCGTTTCCTGAGGTGATTTTGGGTTTTTCGAATTACCTTTGGATGGGGGCTCGTTTGGTTTTTTTTTTCCCCTCCCGTTTTCCCCTCCCTTGAGAAACGGGGAGCCTCTCTTCTGCCCTGAGGTGGGCTTCGCGGGGGGTGATGATGCTTTTCTCGGAGGCAAGGAAGGGAGCCGTTGGCGAAGAGGGGCCCAATTCGTCCTTCCCTGGAAGGCAGTATTAAGCCTCCCCCCCCAGCCCTGCGTTTCCTCAGCATTTGCTTCGTAAGCGTTTTTTTTCCCTTCCCACGGATGCCGCTTCTCTAGGCAGGCCTGAGCAAAAATTGAAGGTTTCCCTTGAGGAATCTGTCAGATTTGCCCTCGGCGGCGGGAGAGAAGCGAGGAGAGCAAGGGGGTGGGTCGTAGCAAGTGGTCTTCCTTTTTTTTCTTGGTGGGAGATGATGGAGATATCAAATTAAAACCCTCGGGGGGGGGGACGGGAATAGAAGATGTCACCCTCATGTTTCGTTTATTCACGGCTCAGCATCCGAGATTTTAAAGGTGAGGCAGAAGAAGCTGTGAGGCCTCGCCTTTTAAACCTTCCTCCTTGCTTTCCTGGGAGTAAACGCGATTGCCCTCAAGCATTCTCTCTGATCAGACCCAACAGGTGGGCAAGACCTTCATGGGAAGCGATGACTGCTCACCACCCCCCCCCAAAAAAAAGCCTGCTTAGATTTCAGTTGTTGAAAACTGACTCATCCAGCTAGAAGATAAGAAATGAAGGCACGACCTGCAGATTTTTTTTTAAAAAAAATTGGCTGGCAGTTTGGAGCTACAGTACTGTCTCCTGCAATCAAGGTCCCTTTCCTTGTTTTGGAACATACACAAAGCAGATAATAGACATTTTGAAGAAATATGGCAATTTTCCTATGTGGGGACATGTAGTATCTTCTTATTGGATTTCAAACCCCTGAGATTTGGACTTGAGTTCTCAATCAGAGGGGCTCCTTCATAGGATCTTTATGGTCAAATTGTAGTGGGGTTGGTAGGGCTCTTTGTGCTAAATTGAGCAAGAGACGTAATATTTCTGAAGAGATGGACGAAATAGTGCTAATCTAGTTTCCTGTTGTGTTTGTAAGCACAAAACCATGTTTGTATTTAAAAGTGCCATAAGGATGTGTTGGGTGTAAAGGTTTAAGAAAAGTTTCACCTGGAAGTGTGTTTAATTCTAATTGGATGGATTCCAGGTGTAACGGTTTTCAGCCAGAGTGGTGTGTTTGTGGTTCTGACCATGATAGTAATAAAAGGTATTATTTCCTCTGGGAATAGTAATACCATGGAGACTTTATGAATGGCTCTGTGACTCATTTCACTGCATATTGTAGTAGTAGTGTAATATGGGGTTGTGAGGATGGCTATGGTTTATCATAGTTTCCAGGCAAGTCATTTAACTGTAATGCTGTTTTATATTGATGATCAGTTAAACATATTTGGTTGAGCTCTTAGTATATGAGGTTAGTTTTCTATAGTAACTGGTTCCCTGTTTCCCCTAAAATAAGCCCTAACCCGAAAATAAGCCCTAGTATGATTTTTCAGGATGCTTGTAATATAAGCCCTGCTCCAAAAATAAGCCCCAGTTAAGTGAAACCCCGCCCTCCACCATTGTGCAACAACCAGAAGAAGATGACAGGACCGTATTTGAATAAATGTAGATTGTTGCACGTTAAAAAAAAATAAAACATCCCCTGAAAATAAGCCCTAATGTGTTTTTTGGAGCAAAAATTAATATAAGACCCGGTCTTATTTTCTGGGGAAAATGATATTATTAACATAAGAGGTTAGCTATGTAGTTTTGTTTCAGAAACTGGTTTATATTCGGTCCTCATGGACAAACCTGATCATCCTGTTCTCAAAGGCTTTCACAGATGGGATTCAAAGGCTTTCACAGATGGGATTCAATGGTTGTTGTGGTTTTTGCAGTCTGTTCAGCTGTGTTCTGAACTATGGCCAAACAGCCTGAAAAACCAACAATAACAACCAAACCTGATCATCTTTTTGTGTTCATATGTATACATTCCAGTTGTATATTTTGACTTAAATGATCCATAGTAACCATGCAAAACCAATGGACTCCCAAGCAAACTACACCAGAGCACAGAGTGCTGTCCTCTGAAGATGCAGGCCACAGAGACTGGCGAAACGTTAGGAAGAATAACCTAAACAGAACACGGCCAAAGAGTCTGAAAAACCCACAACAACCATTAGATCCTGGCCATGAAAGCCTTTGCGAATCCATTGTATAGTCTTGCTTAAATTGTTCCTTGCAGCAGAAGTGAAGAATGTGTGGCCTTCCAGATGTGGTTGGACTTCAGTTTCATCCTTTAACGTGATCCACACTTGCTAGGACTAATTGAAATTACAGTTCAACAACCATATATTTCCACCCCTGCCTTACAGGAAGACATTTTAGGATATGGGGCTGTTGTATAGCTTTCTTTCTGATTTAAATAGTGTTGAGATCAGTAGTGTAAATTAATTGACACAATTGGAGAATAAGGTCCACTGTCTTCCATATTCTGCATGTATTGTGTTTTTCTGGAAATGGCTTTTTCTCAAATTGTCTGTTAATAGGGATTCAATGCTAATTGTTTGCAGCTGGGCTGAGAGAGAATGAGGTGGAAGGGCAAAGAGCCAGTGGCAGAACTATGGTACTTTGCTCTGCTGTTAGCTTTTGGGCTTTATCTCTGAGGACAAGGTCTACTTGCCTAATCCTGCATAGTCACTGCTTTAGACTTTCAGACAAGACAGGAAGCATACTTGGAACAGACATGCAGAAACATTAGTGGTAAGCTTTTCGAAGGAGATAAAATCCTGTCTGCTCTTTCAGACTGAAAAACCCATCTCTTTGCTCAGGTCTTTTCAGTTTGTGGGGGGAATCCCACAAGTTAGAAACTGGGAAATAGTGTTGTAGTAATAAAAGTATAGGAAAAAGCAGTTGTGGTGGTGACTCTGGTTGTATATAAGAGACAGTGACCTGAGTTGACTTTTGTAAAGCTGCATGTGTAATATCAGATTGCCAGTTTACTAGTATTGTTACTACACTTCAAGGCACTGCTAATATAAAGAGTGATATAGGTGTGTCTATATAATTTTTTACAAGCATGTGTTTTTCACTACTGTTTGAAGCTGGAAGCTCTTCTATCCAGACATATTTATTTGATATACAATTTTGTGACACAGAAACATCTTGACTTTAACTTCAACCTGTTTGTGAAATAGTCTTTTCTATTTATGATGTTTGTCTGTCCTGAGCTTAAGGCCCTGTAATCTGTGATTATTACCTTGGATCTGTCATGTGGAAGGCTTGGCATTGCAATTTTCTAGATTCTTCCGGTTGCCCTCAGGCCCACGATATCTGAATGAGTGATGGTGATTGTAGGGATTTATTTGACTTGGTTAAAAATGGCATATGCTGCCTTCCTGAATTTTAAGTGTCCTGTTTTTAATGAGCATGCCACTAATTTCTGGAGTATCAGAACTCTAGACAGTAACAGTTAACTGAAGAGGCTGCTATGCTCGTTTATTTTAAAATTGAATCATACTACACAAGTTCAAATACTCCAAATACCCTGGGAAGTTAAATGGCTTGAAGTTGGGAAGTTTGAACCCCACAATTGTTTGAGCAGTACAAGAAAAACTATCTTTCTGAAGTACTGCTTCAAGACTTCATGTGTGTTCGGTGTTCTCTTTTCTTACTGCCCAAAATTAGATCTATAAATGTCACTGACATAATGAGCTTAGTTAGTCTGGCATTTGGTTTATAATTCCACTTATGTGCATTCCATCCATTTGTGTCTATAATTTAGGATTAAAGTTTTTGTATAAACAAGGATATGCATGTTATCTTTGGAGGGATGATATTTATGTCTCCATGTGCTGAGTCAGGAAAATCAAAGGTTTAGTGAAAAATTGGTAGTATGATTATGTATCCACATATCCTCTAAAATTCATGTATAAAAGAGGAGATTTGTATGCTTTTTAATGCTCCTGAGCTGGATAAAATGTTTCGCATAGTAAGAAAAGACCCACACCAAAAACCTGGTCAGATCAGCATTCACACCCACAACAGGGCCTAAATAGATGTCCTATACTATAGCAATAGTTCTCTCCCACTCTTTCCCAACACCTGGTATTAAGAGAATGTATCTGATTTCTGGAAGCAAAATATAGCCCTCATGTCTGAAGTGTTTGTCGTCCATGGATTGTTGATTTTGTTTCAACATCATCTAAATTGGTTGCTACCCCTTACCAGGGCAGCAGAATCCACCATTTAACTGTACACTGTGAACAGTCTTATCTTCTTGAATCTCCCGTAGTACTGCTGTGTTGAATTATTCTTCCTGTCCATTTTCTCCACTCTATGCATAATTTTACAAACCTGCATTATGACAGCTCATTCAGGAGGAAGCTGCTTGTTCCTTGTTTTGCTTATGTGAATGCTGGCAATGTAGCTTGAAGGTAAGAGTTTGTAGAGATTTAGTTTATCAAATGGTCTGCCTGTTAGATACAATCAAAAGTGTCTCAGTAGAAATGTCAAAGGGAATTCCTCCATCTGTTCTCCTACTGTCATGTTGTGTGTGTTGCTTATGTACTAAGTTTTCTCCTTTGTGGGAAGCAGCATAAATGCTTCAGATTATGATATTGGTGAGTTTTTATTCTGGTTCTCATCAAGAGTACTAAACTTATTTATTTAAAAAATTTTTCCCTGATTTGTTC